CAGCAAACCCTAAACCCTGAAACCTAGATCCCCGGAACCTCAAACCCCCGCCGGGCGCTGCACTCCTGTTGATAGTGGTGCCGATGCTGCTGCGGAATTCGCTCTTCGTCGCCATACGTATCATAGACTTGCCTTTTTGGGCAGTTTGGGAATGTAGTGTTTTGGAATGTGACACCTCCGCAAGAAAGCAGTTTTGCATGTAGTAATGTATGAGAGTTGCGGGTAGTAGACTCAACTGCAGCTTGAAAATCTAGCGGTTGTGCGATGGCGCTACCAAGCCGCAACATGCCGCACTTACAAAACACGAAACTCCCGACACCCAAAGGGTCCAAAGAAAACAGAACGTAGGGTTTCTATATTAGCAACCCAGTATGATTTAGGGATGTATCCCCAATAACAATACCTAGTTAGAACCCTTGGGGCCATCGCTTCGGAAGCTGCCATGCCCCAAGCTTGCAACGTACTGAATAATAGCGACCTATAAGGGAAAGTCAGGCAACGCTGCAATAAAGCTAAACCCCCCGCTTCCGATACCTGAAGTCTTGAGCACTGCAGTCATACACCTGGGTTTTCTGCGCCTTCTCTTATCCAGCACACCCCGCATTTCAAGGCTCGTTCTACACTGATTCTTCCCTACTTGTTTATCAGCTCCAACATGCCCAAGAAAGCAGGGAGCATCATGTGGGCAGTTCCATACTATCGGGTCCTTTTTAGGGTCCTTTTATTAGGGTGCCGTATGGTGCCGCACTATTTTTTGACTTAAACAGGCACCCTAAATTCGCAAAACTACGCAACTAGCCGTAGCCACTGTAGTCACTGTCGACACTAGCCCGGAATAAACCACATGTATACAAACTCAAAAAGAATGAAGACCTACATAATCTGCAAAAGCAATATACCTTTGTTTGCACTCTGCTATTGCACCAGTCGACTAAGAGCGCGTTACGAGTAATGGCAACAGAACTAGAATAAACATGACAGGGTGCATAAGGTTTAAGGTTCGCAAAATGCTGGCCTGAAACCCTAACCCCTCAATCCCAAAATCCGAACACCAAATCGTAATCTGGCGGCTTCTTCTCCGGATCGGTGAGGCACTGGAAGGCTTTTGAAAGCTTTTTGAATGCCTGTCACAAGGTTTCTTCGAACTCCCGTGTTGAGCGCCTTCTTTAACTTGGGGTTATTGGTACTCGTGTTCTTATTGTTCGTGTTTCGACGGGGGCTGGAATGCAACACGGTTACATGTGAAATGTATTGCAGAGACACCAGCTTCACATGTGCACGTATGTGTTCCTTCATGCACGTGTGTATGCCTTGTGTAAGTATGTACGTATGCATATGTGTATGTATATATATGTTTGTATGTATGCATGTATATAATATGTATGTATGTATGTATGTATGTATGTATGTATGTATGTATGTATGTATGTATGTATGTATGTATGTGCTTATGGGAAATGGACGTGGAATGCCACTGCGGAACACGTGGCGGAGCAGTCTTGCGCCAGAGTGTTCTACCAAGCATATTGTGTGGTACCTCCCCAAAGGGTCCTAAGTACCTATATAGTAGAATGTAGGGTTTCTATATTAGGAATTACTCTTATGACTTGGGGAAGTATCCCCCACAACAGTACATAGGACCCTTTGGGCTCTTGGGGGGGCCTTGCAGGTCGGGACGACTTTGTACGGTTTAGGGTTTAGGGTTTAGGGTTTAGGGTTCAGGGTTTAGGGTTAGCATCTATGTGGGCCTGAACCGCTCAGCGTTCTGTCCACACAGGTTAAACCCTAGAACTGAAGTAGAAACCTAAAACCTCTACATCAACCCTTTCTGAAGACCCCTTGAAAAGGAACCTTTAACGGAACCCAAACCCTAAACCCAAAACCCTAAACCAAAACCCTAAACCCTAAACCCTAAACCCTAAACCCCTTTAGACCGCTGTCCATCCCCAACCCAGCCTCGTCTGCTCCAGGCGCTCGGTTCTTGTCAGGATGAAGCTTCAGAGCCAGCTTCTTATAGGCCTCTTGTCTTTGGGTTTTAGGGTTTAGGGTT